GGTGGTAGTTGTGCCAGGCTGCATTTTCTATTTTGTCTAGGTGAAAGCTAGGTCGTTTTTTTCTGTTAGGATCTGTTCTGATTTCTTGGGTTCAAGAACTGATAGATAAATTTTAGAAACTGAAGAACCCACTTACATCCTCAAGGTTAGAAACCATCACCATCATCCTATTCTGTGATGCTATGGACACTTTTCCCTCAAGTCTCTCCTCTGGATTTATTTTGTGAAATTAGATTCTGAATCACATTTTGTTGCATAAACTGCTTGGGCAAAAAAGTTTTTTTTTCTTTAAAAGCATTCTTAGTATACATGGGTTGAAGAACAACAAACATGGCTCCTCTTTCCACTAGTCACACCATTACACTCCCTTCCAGCCTCTTTGCTGCTACATATAGCCATTCAAATGAGCCCTGGCCAAGTACATGTGGGTAGAAGTTAATGTTTGGTCCTTGCAAGCCTGACCTGTGATTCTATGTCGTGATTTAGAACATAAAAAAGAAGTGAGACTTGCTGAATGAGACAAAAAGCACTCTTGAACGCTTCCTCTGACAAGCTCCAAGGCACACTAGTTGTCTTGCACTCTTTTGGACAGCTACTCATTTGTTGGACAATAATTTGCCAACATGGGGACAATCCATAGCATTTTCCACATGCATCTTCTGCTGCAGTTTCTCATGGTTTTGATCAAAGCTAGACAGTGACTGATCCAGGAGGCCAGACCCCAGGCCAGCATAGAGTCCTGTGGTTGAAGACAGGCTGGACCATCAGAGGAAGATTCTTCTGGATTTTTACCTTCTCTTTTTTCAGGAAACCTGAAGCTGGTTATGTTATTCAGACATGATTGAAAAGAGATTATTTTGAGTTGTTTTGGTAGCACCAAGAAATGTGCCAGTGTGACAGCCAAAAAAGCAGAGGGACCAAGGCCTTGGGAGTGGGAAAGCCACTGATGATTCTGGGTCTGGTAGGGTTTTAGAGATCTCCCAGCCCCGAAACAGCCAAGCAGCTCTGTCCTGGGTTGTGAGTGGGCTCAGCCCCTGTGCACACCCATGCTTGGATTCCGGCACACATGGCACCCACAGGAGGCAGCGCCCCCTCCAGGAGACGGTTGGCAGGACCCTGTCCCCACATGCGAAGGCAGCACCTACACGTCCTCTACTGTTCCCAGTGCCAGTTGCCCACAGAGGTTCACGATGAGACCCAACCTGTAGGCAGAGTTGCCACCCCAGCCTGAGGCAAAGTGGACCTTTTTCTGCCAGAGGGGTCTGCTTTCCCATTGGCCAAAATGGCCTCAAATGACAGGGACAGAAGGCAGCACAAGTGCCCATTAGAGTGTCTGACCCGCCCGGTTCTGCTGCCACACATCTCTGGGGACGTCCCAGCAGGCACCCAGGCCTGGGCCACAGCTCACCCTACACTCAGGGGTGGGTAGCACAGCTGCCCGTGCAGGCCTCAGGGAGGAAAGGGAGAAATAGAGATGACAAAAGCAAGACACAATAAATGCAGCAACAGCACACAAACACACACTGACACTCATCTGGGGCAGGCCATCCTCTCACCCATGACCAGCAGTGCAGGCAGCCGAGAGCCGGGCAGGAGTTGGTGCCGCCATCCCCTGAGTTAGGGCCTGGATCTAGGGCAGAATATAGAGTCAAGGGCCACTGACCTCAGGACCTGCGGGTTGCGGGGAGGGGATGCTGTGAGGAGAACTGTCCAGGTCACAGCTAAGTATGTCTGACTTCAGGAAAACATTTCAAACCAAAGTACATTTATGGAAGACTCCTGATGATATAAAAAAGTATGGTTTAGAAAATTTGAAAGCAATCACCGAACATATTCATACATTTTCATCTAAATTTAGATACAGAGTTTTTCTAAAACTGGGATCAGGCCAGGTGTGGTGGCTCAGGCCTGTAATCCTAGCCCTTTGGGAGCCTGAGGCAGGAGGATCGCTTGAGGCCAGGAGTGGAAGACCAGGCTGGGCAACATGGTGAGACCCCTCATCTCTACCAAAAATACAGAACTTAGCCAGGTATGGCAGCGCACCCCTGTAGTCCCAGCTGCTGAGAAGGCTGAGGTGGGAGGATTGCTTGAGCCTGCAAGGTTGAGGCTGCAGTTAGCCAAGATTGCACTGCTGCATTCCAGCCTGGGTGATACACCATCTCAAAAAATAATAACAGTAATTCCCGATTTTAATAACTGTTCTGGAGTTGTATAAAAGAATACCCTTATTCTTAGGAAATGCACACTTTGGGGTAATTATGTCTATAGTTTACACTGAAATCATTAAAAAACATATGTTAATGGACAAAGTAAATGGGACAAAATGGAAAAAATTTCTCCAAATTTTAGAAATTGGTAAGTCTTGGTTAAGAGAAGGAGTCTTGGTACTATTCCTGTGACAACGTTTGAAATTATATAAAAATTTTAAGTTCCTAAAACTGGCTGTAGAACTGTATGCTCTGAGTGAGTGTTTATTTTGTAAAAGCGATTAAGACCAAAACTTTAATCAGTTGAAAATCTGATGAAATAAAAGTAGTAATATATTAGTGTTTTTGACATCAAATCGTGGTAGAAGGGTGGTAACTTTTACAAGTTTTTCTCCAAGCACAGTACATTTCTGTGGATTTTTTAAGAATTCAACTTCCTGTAATTCTTACCTTCCTCCACCTAAAGTGACAGTTTACCAAATACTTTTGAGTAATGGTTAGATTGGGTTAGATTCTCAAGGTTTCCTCTTTAAAAGTCATACATTTAGTTCGGGTGGTGAATTACTTGGCTGCTTTGTTCCTGTGAAAGAAGTATATAAAAATGTGCCCTTAGTAACACACAATGCGTTTCTCCTGACAGTTACTTCCAGTTATGCAGTTGTCTTACTATCTCAGCAAAGTCATTCTTAACTTCCTCCATGTCTCAGGTTGGAAATAGGAGCCAATTCAAGATCGGTTAAAGACTTTAGGGCCCGGCGCGGTGGCTCATACCTGTAATCCCAACACTTTGGGAGGCCAAGGTGAGTGGATCATGAGGTCAAGAGATCGAGACCATCCTGGCCAACATGGTGAAACCCCGTCTCTACTAAAAATACAAAAATGAGCCAGGCATGGTGGTGGGCGCCTGTAGTCCCAGCTACTCAGGAGGCAGGAGAACCACTTGAACCTGAGAGGCAGAGGTTGCAGTGAGCAGAGCTTGCCCCACTGCTCTCCAGCCTGGAGACAGAGCCAGACTCCGTCTCAAAAAAAGAAAAAAAGACTTAAACGTCAGACCAGAAACTATAAAACTGCCAGAAAAAACAGGAAAAGGTTCTGAGAATATTGGCTTAGGCAAATAATTTATGAATGAGATCTCAAAAGCACAGGCACCAAAAGCAAGAACAGATAAGTGGGCTATAACTTCTGCACAGCAAAAGAAACAACACAGTGAGGAGACAGCCCCTGGAGTGGGAGAAAATACTTGCAAATTACTCATCTGACAGGGAACTAATATGCAGAGTATACAAGGAACTCAGACTCCTGAAAAGTTAACAAAACAATGCCATTAAAAATTGGCAAAGGACAGGAATAGAGACTTACAAATGGCTAAGATGTATATGAGAAAATGCTCAACGTCATTGATCAGGGAAATGTAAATCAAAACCACAGCGAGATACTATTTCACCTCACTTAGAATGGGTATTATTAATAAAACAAAAAATAACAGATGCTGGTGAGAATGCAGAGAAATGGAAGCTGCTACACTGTCAGTAGGAATGCGAATCAGTACAAGCATGATGGAAACCAGTGTAGAGAATTCTTAAAAAAAAAAAAAAAGAAAAATAGAGCTACTGTACGGTCCAGCAGTCTCACTAGGGGGGAGGTATTCATCCAAAAGAAAAATTTCAGTGTAACAAAGGGTAACTTGCATGCTTGTGTTTATCACAGCATTATTCACAATAGCAAAGATACAGAGTCAATGCAAGTATTCATCAACAGATGAATGGATAAGATGTGCTCAATATACACGGTAGAATATGTGGCATAACAAATAATGAAATCATGTCATTTTCAGAAATGGGTAGCTCTGGAAGTCATTAAGTAAAATAAGCCGGGTACAGAAGGACAAATACTGCAGGTTCTCACATGTGGGAGCTAAAACTTGATCTCATGGACACAGAGAATATGATGGCAGTTACCAGAGGCCAGGAAGATGGGGTGTGGAAGGGAGAATGAAGAGAAGTTGGCAGTTGGGTACAGACCTACAGTTAGAAGAAATAAACTATAATGTTTGATAGCAGACTATGGGTGACTAACAATATTATGTGCAAATATTCAAAGTAACCAGAATACACATTTTATGCATGTAACAAGCATTTGTATGTACCCTACAAAGAGGTAAAATATTATGTGTCAATAAGATGGAGAGGTTATGCCCCAGCCTCGAGAGGGGCTCCTTGGATCCACACAGCACATCCTGCCCACCTGCATCCTCTGCTCCACTGTGCTGGTCGTATCTGGGCCTTCATGCTCCGGTCCCCAAGGCAGGTGGTGCTGACTCAGGTGGCCACACTGTGGATCTGGGTGTTGGTGGCCCAGAGGGTGGGTGCTAGAGGCTTCCTGCCTCTCTTCTTCCACTGGGACTAGATGGAGCCAGGCAGTGATAGGGTACCACCTTCTTGACCAGATCCTGGAACACAGGAGTGTCACCTGGCCCCTCCTCATCCCAACTTAGTGCCCAAACTGCTTTTGGGCCCGGCATGGCTGGGCTGGAACTCGGGATGCAGCTCAAGCCTTGTGGCATCTCTGGGTTCTCTGTCCACTGAGGGTGCCCTGGGACCCAAAGCTGCCGGGAAGAGATTGGCTTATCCTCATGCCTGGCACCCCAGACTGTCCTTCCTGGTCCATCGCCCTGGTCACATTCCCCAGGGCAGCTCAGGGCTTTGTTTAGGGATTTACCGTAGTCAAGTGCCTAATAAATGCTGAGACCTGCAAGGCCATGTGGGCAGATGGGAGGTGCTCTTCAGTGAGCACCCCCAGCAGCCAGCAGGGCAGTCCCCCATGCAGGTGTCTGCGTGCTCCGCTTGTGTTTGACTGTTACAGCACTTCCTGTCAGGGACAGCACCTCTCGTCCCTCCTGTCAGGAAGGACACAGACAGCAGGTGCCTGAGGACAAGGCATTTGCCAGGTAACTCAGGCTGCGAGTGCTGGAGCTGGGATTTGAACCCGGATCATGGCACTCTGTATGGGGCAATGGAAGATGTGGGGATGTCCATGCAGGAAGGAAGGGCATCCTGGTCCCACTGAGCCCAGCTGCTCCTTGTTATCCTGGAGGAAACTGCTCAGCCCGCAGCTGGGGAGAGATCCCAGGAGGTCAGGCTTCCCCTTGCTTCCTGGTTCGGGATCACAGAGGGACAAGGGAAAAATTGTGTGTCTTTTTTCTTTTTGTTTCGTTCAAAATTTAGTTTATTATCAAGCAAGAGGAGCTTAACCCTGCATGTTAGGCAAGACTTCAGTTACAAAATAGTCGTTTTTTTTTTTTCACTTGTGATTGACTTCCCCTCTACTTTTTTTGGCAAGTGCAGGTTGGTGTCCGGGCTCAGAATCCATTTTTCCTCCCACACCAAAGCACCTCTGGTTTGGGTGGAGCAGCCTGGTTGGAGCCTGGCTGCATAAGCAGGAGGGTTGAGGTGCCAGTGCCCTGGTCCAGCTCAGACGCCAGCACCAGGGAGGCGGGAACAGTGTCCTGTTCCCAGGATCTGCACAGGGGGGTGACTTTCTGCATCTCCCCATCCGTGGGAGGTGCTCCTCCAAGCCGCCTCTTGCCAGCCTGCACCTAGCAGCCTGCACCTTGACCCTATTGCATGCCCGTGGAGCAGAGCCCCCCAGGCCAGAAGCCCCACAGCTGTTGGCTCTGGCTTGGACACCGGGCAGGAGGCACCGGGGCAGGAGCTGACCGTGATCCTGTGACCACAAGTGCCCCCTCACTGATGGTCTCATGTTCTGGATGCGGACCAAAGAGGAGCAAGTGTGGAAGGCGTCTCAGGCAGGCGCTGGGCTCGGTGGGTGTTTTGTGGTCAGCAATTTTGAGGCTATTTGCAGCCAGCTCCCTCAGCCCGAGTTCCGAGCTGCAGCCGCTGGCATGCACAACAGCACGGCCAGGAGTGTCTTGGGGGCTTTCTTCATAGGAGGCTGTCAGCATCCTCAGGTTCCAGGCGCTCAGGCCCAGTCCTGCTTCAAGAGGCTTTTTCCCCCCACCCGAGGCTTCTCAATGGCCTGAAAGCTCCGCTGACTCCCGCGAAGTTTGCTGGGAACAAGGCTGTCAGTGACATTCGTGGCGCCAAGACTTAACCATGCGGCTTGCACGGATCCGCCACGGTCTGTGCCACGTGCACTGGCGCCTCCTGAGATGCACGCGCACGCGGCACGCGCACAACGGTTTGGCTGGCCTGTAACCGCTTGGCTGGCTTGTAGCGGTTTGCACACGCACGGCGCACGCGCGACTGGTAACTGGCTGGTTTGTAGCGGCTTGCACGCGCAGAGCACACGCGCGTAGTGGCTTGGCTTGGCTTTGCGTTCTTGGCTTGGCGTCCGTCGCTTGGCCTGCTGTTCCTCCTTGGACTTCCTTGGATTGACGTTTTATCCTTTGGGTTGACGTTTCCTCCGTAATTCCTTTGCTGGGCTTGACCTTTTCTCTGCTGGGTTTGGCATTCCCTTGG